GCTTCCCCTCCTCAGCTCCCAGTCCCCTTCCTCTGCTCCCAGTCCCCCTCCTCAGCTCCCGCACCCACCCACACTGTCCTGCTCCCCTGCCAGGCAGCAAATGGCACCAGCTCATCCCCAACCCTCCCTGCCCACAGGCCCCACCTTCCCCACAGGTTTCAGCTGGTGACTGAGCCAAAGTTTATTCAATCCCAGTGTATTTATATCAGGCTCTGCAGGCTCCTGCCCCAGGCCCCTCCCTGCTCAGCCTGAGCCTTTCCATGCCTGGAGGAATAAATGTTTGGAGCACCTGGAGCTGCCAGGGGGGCACTGCAGACCCTGGGGCTCAGCTTCTTGGCTCTTGGGCAGGGCTGGTTGGCAACCTTGGCTTTCCAGCCTGTGAAGGGGCCTCCAGCCCAGCTGGGAGAGGATTTTTTACAAGAGGGTGTAGTGAGGGGATGAGGGGTAATGGTGTTAAACTGGAAGAGGGAGACAGAGGTTGGACATTGGGAAGGAATTCTTCACCATGAGGGTCCCAGGTTGCCCAGGGAAGCTGTGGCTGCCCCATCCCTGGCAGTGTTGAAGGGCAGGTTGGATGGGGCTTGGAGCAGCCTGGGCTGGTGGGAGGTGTCCCTGCCCATGCAGGGGGGTTGGATCTGGATGATCTTCAAGTTCCCTTCCAACCCAAACCATTCCATGACTCTGTGATTTCCTGGGCAAGGGCTCAGCAGAGCTGGAGCTGCATCCAGGGCAGGCCCTGACTTTGCTGCTCTTTTGTGTGAGGGATTGAGCTGCTGGGGCACAGGCAGACACGGGGAGCAGGGCAGGCTGCTCTCAAGCCAGGCTGCTGCCAAACACCCCTGAGCTGGGCCCTGCAGGAGCCACCAGGAACAGCCTGGATGAACCAGCCAGAGATGGAAAACCCACTCCTGGGAACTGCAGATGCACCAGTAAGAGGCTGGTGCTGGTGCTGAGGCCCTGCACTTCAAAGCAGCATTTCTGGATGTTTTCCTCCTGGCTCAGCACCACATCCCTCATCTCTGCATAGTATTTATTTTTTTTTTAGTGATAGATGCCTTTTTTTTTTTTTTAGACACTTTAATACCCAGCAGCCCTGGCCACCTCCCTTGGCCAGACACACCCAGAAGAGCCAGCAGGAAACACCCTGCCAGCCCTGCTCTGCTCCCAGCCCACCTCCCACCAGGATTCCCATGGGGCAAATGTCATTTTTTCCTGGGGATTAAACCTCTCCTTTATGGGACTGGAAGAATTCACCTCGTCCTGCTGCCAGAGCTGAGCCCAGGCCAGCTCCACGCATGGCAACAGCTCAGCCAAGGGGAACACAGAGCACAAAAATACTCACTCTGAGGTGCTTCCCTCTCTCTCCTCCTGGGCTGCAGGGTATTTATTTCAGAGATTCCTTCAGGGGCTGTTTTAGAAGGGAACACCAGCTCACAAGAAAACTAACCCTGCAAGGATTTTTTCCCCTGCCCTGGTGATGCTGTGAGGAGGTGACAGCCATTTTTTTTGGGGGGGGTCACTGCCTGGAGAAGGGAAGTGGGGCCCACAGAGCTCAGATGCAGAAGGGGAGGATCCACCACAAGCTCCAGTCTCCCTTCACTGTCTCTTCCCTGCAGAACTGGGACCTTCTACATCACATCTCCACTCCTGTGACCAGACACATCCTTGTCCATGAACAAACACCCCAGCAAACCCTCACCTCCCCCCGCAGCTCCCTGCGGGGAGGCAGCAAAGCCCTGTTCCCCAGCCCCCCTGCAGGGCTTCAGAGCTGAAAAACGAGCCTGACAAAAACCCCATTCCCTCTGGCTCCCTGCCCAGCCCAGCCCAGCCCACACGGAGCAGCCGGGCACCAGCGTTTTGTGGGTTATGGAGGAGGATGCAGACAGGAGCTCCAGCAGCTCCTCACCCCCCCAGCCCCTCTGTGCCTGCTGGGCTGGGTGCCAGCCCTTCCTTAGGTGAAGCCCAGCTCTTCCTTTTTCCCAAGCAGGAAGCACTCAGCCACCAGCAGGGCCTCCTCCTTCTCATCTCAGCCAGAGCAGCTGCTCAGCAGCTCTTTGAACCCCTGACCAACCACTGCCCCAGCCCTCAGCACTCACTGCCCAGGACAGACCCTGGTTTTCTGCCAGGGGGGAGGACACAGGAGCTGCCTCTGCCCTTCCCTGCCCTGCTCCTGGCAGCCCAGGGCAGCAGGGAGCCCAGGGAAGCCCAACTCACCATCACATCTCCCTTGAGGTGCCACAAACCAGAGCCAGGAGGGACCCCAGGAGCTGGTGCTCACACAGGAGACCCACATCCTCAGCTCCAAACCCACCCCAGGATGGAGCAACAGTTTCCCAGCTCCCTGCTGCCACCCGTTCCCTGCAGCCACCCCAGGGAACCACAGCCTCTCCTACCTTCAATTAAGTGGACGTTACCCTTTCCATCTCTAGAGATTAACAAAGCTTTAATTGCTGCTTCTGCTGGGGCAGGGCAGAGGTTTCACCCTCCTGCCGGGTACAGGCTGTTCTGTGGCCAATAACCTGGATTTCAAGTGGCTTGGCAGCTCCAGAGCCCCTGCTCAGCCCTCAACACCTTCCAAAACCTCCCTGCTCCATCCTGGGCCCTGCAAACACCAGAAACCTCTGAGCCAGGACCACAGTCCTCCTCCCAGGATCACAGTCCTCCTCCCAGGACCACCTCAGCCCACTCCAACATCCAGACAAGTCCATGGAGCATCACCTTGGACAGGTCTGCTCTTCTCCATCCAGGTGGGACTGGATGATCTTACAGGTCCTTCTCAACCACTCCCTAATTCCAAGCACAGGAGCTTGGGGCCTTCAGCAATCCATCCCAAGAATAAAACCAGGCCATCTCCACCTTTAAACTGGATGATCTAGATCATCTTTAAGGTCCCTTCCAACTTCAGCCACTCTGATTCTATCATCTTCAGCCAAACAGTCACCAAGAACAACTGCCAGAGCTTTCAACACCTGCCAAGTGACAAAGTCTACTCAAGGTGCAGGTGGGAACTGAAGGTCACTTACCCCAGCTCCAGATCCTGGCCAGGAACACTCACAGTGGGCTCAGCTGAGCTCCTGGATCACAGCTACTCCTCTTGTTGAGCCTCCACTCTAGACACTAACCTCTAGGAGACTCTTCTTCTCCAGCTGGAAACCAACAAGACACCAGAACCTGCTGTCAGCTGCTCCAAAGCTCCTGTTGCTGTTGCCACCCCAGGGGACTGTGACAGAGCCCACCTGGCTCAGGAGGAACCAGAACTGCAGGAGAACCTCCCTCTGAGACCTGCTCTACAACTCAAATCAAGGAGCTGGAGGAAGGAGCAAAGCAGAGAAAAGGGGAGAAAAACAAAAAAAAAGAAGAAAAAAGAATAAAAAAATCAGGATTATAAATCTAAAATTTTATTGAGACAAAAAACTGACAGGGCTTGGTATGAAGTTAAAATCCAAACACGTACTTTACATTTAAACAACGTTTTTCACAGAAACCTAAACACATGCTTTTTTCTTCTTTTTCTTTTCTTTTTTAAAAAAAAGGTTTGTACAATGCAAGTCTAGATACATATCACCCTAACCAGGAGGTGCCAGGAGTCTGGTGGGGCTCAGGAATCCAGACATTAAATAGTTCAGTATTTGTAATAAATCTGATTTAAAAAAAAAACAACAACAACAAACAGAAAAAAACAAACAAACAAACAAACCCAACAAACCAACACAACAAAACAACTCAAGGAGATCTGGGGTCATTCATCTGGCTCCAGCACCAAGGTCTGGCTTCCTATAAACAATAGTTTGTTATGGGAGAATATGGAATTAATTATTATTTTTTTATATATATTTTTCAGTTGGTTTTTTTTTTTGTTCCTTGTGCTGCTGTTGATTTCCTCTCCCTCCCACAAGGAAAGGGCTCCTGATGCTGCCTGGCTGGACAGTCATAAATGAAGGTGAGAAAAAGCAAGAAGTAGTCAGAAGTCTCTCTCTTCTCCCCCCCCCTTCCCCGTCCCT